TCATTTGCGATTCACTCTTTCTGTGCGTTTTCATACTGCGACTTAGCTAAGGCAAGTTGCCTCTGAGAGTCTTCCAACGATTTTTTTTGAGACCAGTTTTTTATCAAACAGTTCTTTATTCCGCTCATACTCGGATTCTGCGGTTTCAAAGGAGATTTTCGCGGATTCACATTTCCTTCGGTACGTTGAAGGGTTAGGTTTGCTTGCTCTAATGCAATTTTTGCCTGTCTCAGGGCAATCTGATCTGGGGAGGGAATTTTTTGTCGTAGCAACTGTGTCTCCGCTTCGGTATTCGTTGCCCGTCGTTGCCAACAAATGAATCTAAAGTTGCCTGTGCCATAGAGAGACAGAATTGCGTGCTTGGGCGAGAACCACTCTCTTGCTGTTTTTCAGTAATCTGGATTTGGAAGTCCCGCCCGTTGAAGTTCAGCACTTCGCGCATCGCGGTTGGCTTCTGCCTGTTCTCTGTTCCAGAATTTGTTCATCATCAATACGCAGCAAAGAATCCCCCAACTCAACTCTTGCCCTTCATCGACAAGAATTTCAACTATCTCGCCTCCACGTTCGAGCGGACATCCACCTCAAGAAAGGAACGTAGATTACCAGACTCACGCACCCGAACGAGAAATTCACCGCGACGGACCATTTCCTGTTTATCCTCAGTTTTCTCTTGTTTTGACGAAATGAAGTTCATCCGTGTAGCACCAATTGCCCCAAACAGCGATCACAACTAAGGCAATCGCTCCGAATAATCATTTTTTTCGATTTTTCACGGCTACTGTAACACTCCCATTGCGTCTTGTAAACGGTTTTGTGTAATTTTGTAATCGTAGAACGTATTCACCTCATCCGTCAACGCCTGTGCGTATTAGTTTGGGCATCAAGGAGTTCAAGCAGGATTGCTTTGTCACATCAAAACGCCTTGAATGACCTCTAAACTGAGTCGAGCGTTGGGACTTGTGTTCTGGCGATATCGACTGCGGCTTCACCGCGCTTGAGATTTAGATACGATTGTCGGACCTCTAAGGCAACCGACCGCTTCCAGGTCACTGCATTTTCACGAGCCAGTTCTAATTGCATAGCCAACTCTCTGACACGATCCCCAAAACACCACCATCAAAAAGCGTTAAAATTAAGTGACACGCCTGCGCTCCAACTTCGGAACTCGGAAAAATTCTCACGCTCACGGAGGTAATCGTCGACGTTAACGTTGTAGTCTACATCCGCGTTCAGACGGGGGCCCAGCGCTGTAATTTCGCAAGTGTCAATGACCATTCCTGTGAGTTCAATTGCGATTGCGTTTCTTTAAATTCCGGACGATTGTCAAGTGCTATCTGAATAGCTTCTTCAACCGATATTCTATCTCTCAATTGTGCCACGTTGCTGATATAAACTGATACGACGCATCCGCCGCAACAGTAATTAGCGCACCTGGATCTAAGCCGAGGAGTCGTGGTAATCTGGCTTTTGGAAATTTGAATGGAATTATTGTTGTTTAGCTGGGCGAATCTGTTATTTCCCTCTCGCACTTCAGCTGTCGCTACATCCGCTGGAATGAGCGAACCTGCCTCTACGAAATCTTTAGTGCGTTGTGTGTTCCTGTGGCCCTCGCCAAATTCTGTTCACTCACTTCGACAGTGCCTGATATTGGGGACATCATAATAGGCTTCAGTGATTTGCAAAATTAGGCTCTGTTAATTCGCTCATTACGGTTCACAGTGCCACTCGAGGGACTCTTTCGCCTGTGCGAACCCACCCTCACGTTGACCATTGTCCCAAATCGTATATTGTCCGCTCAGCCCTAAATTGTAGTTTTCGGGTTCAAACCCGAAGTCGAACTCGGTCAGAAAAATCGTAAACACCGGTTGAAAAGATACGTGGAAAATAGTCAGCACGGGCAGTTTTACCCGAAGTTCCTGTATAGCAAGATTCAAACGTGCATTTCGCATATTCGTCGATTTTTCCAAACCTACTTGGATACATTGTCAAGTGTCAAAGATTGGGTTAATCAACTTCGGTGGCACGTCCTGTGCCACTGACACAATAACGACTGCAAACGGAACAGCGAGGATGAATTTTAAGAGCAAGCTCGGAAACCTGAACGGTGCATTCCTTTGAGCTTTGACAAAACAATGAATTATTTTTTCTGGGAATCATTAACATCTCCTGTCCATTCCAACATTTGTAGGCCCTCCAAGCGGGCGCCTCGTGTAAGTATCAACACTTTCCCAACAGGATGTTTTGGGAACATGTAAGTTTCCCAAAACCGTATTATTATAGATTGCGGCATCAATACGAGCCTCTCCAATTGCGCCCAGTGCTCCTGCTACTAACCTGTGAGCGGGATTCCTAACCATGGACTTTAATACAAGACAGACTCCGAAATTCTAACAGTTAAGTTTTTTAAACTTTAAGGCACGCCAAAAAAGATATTATTTATAACATTTTGACGCAGTTTCTCGGTAAAAGTTTAGACATTTTAACCACCTAAAGAAGTTCTTTTTTTCTTGCAATCGCCCCAGATTTCTGTTAAACTACTACTAAATTAGAGGCTCTGAAACTACAACACTTCGGACGAAAGCATGTCAAAGCAAAACATTTTTTATCACTATCTCTATTTGTGCGCATTAACTATCTTCGTATCACACCAGACACTCTCGGTTGATTCTGGCACACACTGGCTCATGGGACGCACAACACAGAAGCACATGCCCTGACTGGTACACTCACTGATTGAACTCCTAACGACACGCGGAAAGTACCCCGAGTGAGCAGATCCACCATGTTGGACAGTGACAGTGCCACGTCTGAAGAGATTCATCATGCCATGATCAGGAAGTTGGGAGGCAAACCGCGGTTCAGGACACCTCTGATTTTTCTATATCACTGGATAGTTACCAAACCGAGAGGCCTGAACGCCATGCACCTGCTAACAAACAGGAGACGAACAAGGGCATCCAAGGTGCCACCCTCAATGACTGGTTCACAGAGAGAGACAGAAAGAAAGCACACCGTTGTTATTGTCGATGGTTACACAGAGGACACAACCTAAACGCCTACTACGCGAATCGCGAGATACTCGGCACCGCTGCACTCAACGCGATCCAATGGCAGAGAAAGCAAACACAACATCTTCTTCAGCGACTCCACATCGCTTACGGTAGATACAACCGATACAAACGATAATCGGCAGCTCAGCATATAGAAAGTTACGAACTGTTGCGAACCAATCTCGATTTTGTGGAGGAATTCTTGCACAACCACGGGTCACGAGAGACTTTCCCGCAAATGTCCCCTGACTTAACAGTTCTACTGCTCAGTTCCTTCGCTGATGCCGTAGAGAAACAAGACGTTCAGGATTCACCTATCTCATCGTTACAACAGCAAAAAACTCGCGGAACAACTCGGTCAACCTGCCCTTGCAAAAAAGTATTTGGAAGAGGTGAAACAAAAGCAGACAAGGGGATTCCTCCGCTAAACTGGCAAATCAACGACTGTGGCACCTGAACCTGGACGCTATCTCTTGAATATCGGCTTGATTGTGTTGCTCGTAGTCCTATTGGCTCTGGAGCGTGGACGTTTTTTAGATACCGAAGTCCAATCGAACCGTGCCATCAGATTAAACCGTCAGAATAGTCCCCTCCCATCATTTCTGCATCTCCGTAATCCTGCCTATCTTGTTCAGACGATGGACTTTATACGTCTTGCCTTGGTGATTGTTTATGGTGTGGTTTTCACCTTCGTTTTCCACCAACCTACGGAATCTGTATATTAGGCAAAAGTTCTTCTAATACGACCGTCGCATACCCACCCGCAGGTAGCGTAAAACTGAGACGGACTCCCCGACCATTGACGGTTTCCAACACCTCATTGCATTGGCATGGGCACCGTAAAGGTCTACGCGTCCCCGGTAAACGGATCCCGACCAACCTTACGAAAGGCTTCAAGTCGAACCCCTCATCTGCAAGGATCGATTTCTCCAACGTGAGCACGTCGCCAGTCGGCAGACGCATCTTATATCCGAAATCGGACCCGAAGGACTAATTCAAATGCATCTGCTCGCGGTTGCTCAGCGGTAGCGTCCGCAACGAGAAAAGGTGCTCCGTTGTCGTGTTTCACAGCGAATGTCACCTTCAAGGAGTTTCGCCCAAACAAGGAGTCCGCTTTTCAAGCGCGGTTAAACAGGGACGCCTGATCGGATCGCCGACAAAAACAACTTGCGCAGTCGATGTGGAATACACATTACGACCTTTTCGGGGGCCTGTGTGGCTAATTCTCGTTGCATACGGCGCCGCGCCACATCATCAATCTGTAGTGCGTCCTCCGTGATTATATAACTCAACACCGCATCCATCCGTCGTTACCAACGCTTGGCCAATCAGATTGAATCGTTTTTATTGCCAAGCGCTGTGACCCCGAGCGATTCTGTACACCTTACAGTTGCCAACCGAACTCCATTCACCGCTTTGACACGGCAGTGTGTATCGTGAGGAACTCGTGTAGCGTTAATCATCAAAACGGTTGCTCAGAGGTGTCCTACCACGTCATTTATGGGATGCCGTTCTGGCCCTAGACACTCACTCTTTCGGGTTCGTTCAAATTTTTCGAAACCCGTTCGTCGTAACACCCTTCGACAAGATAGCACCGTGTGTTGATGACTGCGTTCCTATCCGTCAAGAGCCGGCGTAACCACAAACGGCGGGGGCGTACCTGTAATCCCGTGCAATTCGGTAGGACGCACACAGTTAATTGCTTCCAGGTGCTGAGATTCCGTTTCCGAATAGCGAAAAAGGTATGCGTTCCGTTCCGGTAGGTTCATCAAGCGGTAGTTCCTCGACATAAAATCTTCAGGTTTTTAATCATCTGATTTCCTCTATCCCCCTTATTCTCTGCCATTATAGTCATCATTCACCAATTTGTCAAACTGTGAAAACAGAATATTTCCTTGCCACAGGCACTAATTGTGGTATCTTAACATGAACACCAAAAAGGAGGGGAAGATGGCTTACATAATTAGCGAACCGTGTGTTGATGTAATGGACACCGCATGCGTTGATGTCTGTCCGGTTGACTGTATACACACCACTGAGGCGAAAAGCAGCTTTACATCAACCCAGATGAATGTATTGACTGCGCTGCATGCGAACCTGTGTGTCCGGTTGACGCGATCTCCATGCAAAGTGATGTCCCCACGAATGGAACCGTTTATTGAGATAAACCGTAATTTTTTGAGACTTCGTTAAACCTGAACCCGCGGACGCAGTGAGCCGATGAAACAGAAAACCAAACAGGAAGCAACAGGTATACCGGAAGAATTTGTGCAAATACCGGAGGTCCCAGACTCAGCCTTCGCGCACCATACAATGTCTTAATAATGCTCTTACACCGCTTCTCGGTGCCTTTTCAGCGAAGTTTAAAGCACGGCTTTGGGAGATGGCTGGCAACACGCTCGTCTTTAGTTCTGCGGTATCAACAGGTATCAATAGCCTCATTACTTGACGCTTTATCCGCTTATCCTCTTCTTCATCGGAGTCAAGGACAAGTGCCAACCTTTTACGAGTGAAGGCAACCTGATGATTTTCTTGGGGATCATCATCGCTATTTCTGAAGGTATTTACCGGTTTAAAGACGAGTTTCAATTCCACAGCTGAACAACCGCGCTCACGGTGCCGCCTTCTACGGATGGTTCCCCTCACTCATTGCAACCCCACTCCTAATTGGCTTACGCTCAGCACTCGTCGGTCAGCGAAAAGAAGAACGCACAACGATGCCCGGAGCGGTACTCACAGATGGCAAGATCTATTCTGACGATGTACGGGAACGTTACAGACGCTACGGCATGATAAATCGCCTTACAGAACAGGCAGAATCACTACGAGTCGAAATCGAATTCCGAGGTGGGTGCCGAATTCTGTCGCGAAAACAAGAGCATGAACTCCCTGAATAGAATGCCGGACTACACGTATGAAATCCACTCAGTTCGCCGTATGTCCCCGGTGAATCCCTCACGCCTGAAGTATCTTGACTTGCAGACACAATTGGATGATTCCAAGGTTTGCCTCTGTTGTAGGTCGCACAAGCTCATTCCCGAACGGTTTCACAAATATCATGCCGATCTCAGGACAACCAGAAGATTTTCAGGCAACTTATCGGAATAAGTATTGACGATTATCGTCTCAAAAGCGGTACATGCGAATCACTCGGACTTGAACCACACAGTGCATTATGCCAAACTGAGGGATAGCGAAACTTGCAGCTATAGGCTTGGTTGATAAAGAAACGCTTGTCGATGGCGATCAGCGTTACCAAATCTGCACCGTTCACGCAAATGCAGGATTGGCTGGCGGAGAGCCAGTCATCATTGAACGGGTGACGCTGTCTACCTCATCGATATTGCCGGAATCGGTATATTGATGAATCGCTTCCATGTGGACAACGTCCACGGGCATAACCATCCAGAGCTGAACACTGCGCTCAAACGCAGATAGACAAGATTGCACACACCACACTGCTTGGTTACAGCAACGTCCCGCGATCCAGCTTGCACAAAAACTGTAGACTCACACCCGCGGGATTAAACAAGGTGTTTTATTCCGACAACGGTTCAACTGCTGTCGAAGTCGCCTTGAAGATATGCATATCAGTACTGGCAACACAAGGCAGACCGCAACGGAAACTGTTTATCCATTTTGATAATGCATACCACGGCGACACGATAGTGCGATGAGTGTCGGTGGTATCGATGTTTCCATACTACTTTCGATTCTCTCCTTTTCAAAGGTAGCCGCGTGTCCGCTCCTGAAGCCTATCACCCTCCCAAGCTGTGAAAATACATCCAATAATGAATCTGCGTTAAAACTCATTGGCTCAATGCAGTGGAACGCGCCTTCTCCGAACATGAAGGGCAAATTGCAGGTATTATTTAGAACCACTCATTCAGGGCGCGGGCGGCATGCTTATCGCTCCGAAAGGATTTCTAAAAGAACTCGCCGCATTAGCAAAACGGTCGGAAACACTTCTTATTGTTGATGAAGTGATGACTGGGTTTGGTCGCACGGGCAAAATGTGTGGCATGCGAGCACGAGGACGTTACAACCTGACCTCTTATGCACAGCAAAAGGACTCGCAGGCGGTTATCTCCCTCTCGCCGCGACTTGACCACCGACGACATCTATAACGCCTTCCTCGGTGAGTACCGAGACCTCAAGACCTTCTTCCACGGACACACCTTCACTGGAAACCCATTAGCATGCGCAGTCGCATTAGAAAATATCGCCATTTTCGAGCGTGAAATCTCCTTTCCCCAACGCCAACCTACTATTGAACACTTCAGGAATCGGCTTCAAGAATTCTATACGCTGCCACACGTCGGTGATGTCCGAGTAATGTGGCTTTGCCGCCGGTGTAGAATTAATGAAAACTCGGACACCTCCACGCCTTATCCTTTTGAAGAGAAGGTAGGTATCCGAGTTTTGTAAGAGGCACTCACCCGTGGGGCGATGCTTCGCACCGCTTGTCACACTATCGTCTTGATGCCCCCTCTACAGATCTCGATTTCAGAGTTAGATGCTCTACTGGACATCGTTTATACATCAATCGATATTGTTACAAACAGCCCCAGCCATTGAAAGAAACAGTTCAGACAAAAAACAGGGCGGGTTTAAAACCCGCCTGCAACTGAACCCATTAGAAACTTGCCCTACCGACAGCCATGTTTTGTGCCCTATCCGTTACCTGAATGGTATCGTGTGTGCACCTTCGGTGAGCTCACCCGTTTCGAGTAGGAGCTGCTCCATTTTGGAATCGAAGATACCATCACCAGGGAAGATGGCTTTCCACTGTTGATCGCTGTCGATTTTATAGACAGCTTTCTGGATCGACGAAGTCGCATCTGTAACATCACACGCATTCTTAGGTGCCATCGTCGTTGGTAGTGACTTGTATTTCTCCAAGAGAAGGCTGCGTGTTGTCTATCTCAAACGGCATACTCATCTTCTCAGCCGATTTCGCCCATCCAACTGGATTGCTGAGTTTGTCCGTTGCGACAACTTTCAAGGTGTATCGTCCATCTGCGACAGTGGTGATATCCCATTCATAGGTTGCCTTGGACAATTCTTTTTCAGGAGACGCAGTTACTCTCGTCAACGGCTTTGTAAAAAGCGTATACTCCAAGGTATCGGCATTTGCATCCTCAACCTTCCAACTGATTTTCCATTCTTTAGAAGGCGCGTCGCCTGCATTGCCTGAGCCACCGCTATCCCCGCCGCGCCCACCTGGAGGCGGTAAATTACCACCAGAGGGGCGGCGCCCTCTTTCCTGCTTCCCGCTACCACTACCATCGTCTACTTCAATACTGGTAAATCGTGGTTTCAATATTGGTCTGGACAGAAGCAAGGGTACCCTTTTTCAAATAGGTGTTTGCGCTGTGTCACTGGTTGTGACTTCGCGCGCCACTGGATGTACTGACCATCTCATTCGGACCTGTGAACCGTCCGCCGTTGTGAGCGTCATCTGACCAGTCGTTCCATGTATCATCCGGCTTTTTGGTATTACGCGGTACGGGTTGAAAAGGCAATTGCGGTTCCTTCCGCCATCTCACCTTCCCAAGAGAGTTTCCCCCAGCGGGATAGGCTACGTGCGTCGTAAAACCTTTGACTCAAGGGTACCCTCGTCGACGTAGGTTGTAGTGAGATTAAAAGTTTTCCGGAGTTACCCGTCGCGGAGAAGCGTCTTTGTGTCTCCCATCTCTTTTTTCTGATGATTGCTAGCGATCTGGTTCGCGAGCATTTGCCGACGTCAACAGATGGGCGCCGTTCATTGGGTTGACCCGCGAGAGTTTTCCGTCATCTCCGTGCTACTAGATTTGCGAGTCGCTTATCAAGGATGATAGCCAAAATAGCGGCTCCGGCGATGCCAAATCGGAACGTGCTGTCCCGTCTGGACGAGAATTTTGTGTAGATGTTAGACTTGATTTTTCTCGGTGCCGCCACCAGCCCGGTGGCGGTGCGACCGGAGGCGGGCTTTGGAGGCCACGTTTGCACCGCGCGCCGGCCCCTTGAAGGTTCAGCAGGTTCGGACGAAACGACCGCTGCATAGAGATTACCTTGGGTATCCATTTCAAGGGCGCGAACCTCTTTCTCTCGGCTTGATAGATACTTTTGCAGTACCATCGTCCATGATATGGTAAATAATGCCGTTGTCGCCGCTTCCGCGTAGAAACCGTTTCGTGTAGAAGGAACGTCATTATATTTTTTCTTCGGCATCAAAGAGAACACTGGACTCACCATCGGTGTTGATTTTGTAAATCTTACCATCGTCCCTGTCGCCGCATAAAGATTGCCAGCATCATCAAATTTCAACGCCACACATATTTGTCGCCTTCGTTGAGCAGGGTCGTCGGAGTGTGTTGTAAGCATCAGTGATTTATAAATCAACCCGTCGGCCCAGTGCCAGCGTAGAGAGCATGTCGGGTCCGATAGCAGACTGTAAATGGTAACTTCAGGTGAATTGTTAATAGAGCTCGGCGGTGTCGCCATCCGCAGCAATTTTATAGATTTTCCCTCGTTCCCGGTACCCGATAGAGATTCCTGCTGAATCTTCCACAAGTGCCAGACTTGGGTCTCCTTGAGTTAGTGAAAGAATCAATTTTGGAGATAACATACATCTCCGGTACTTGTAAGCGAAGGTCTTTTGGCTTGCCAGACTCAAAATCGCATGGTTTTTTTGTTCCATAAAGATGTATTGACTGCGGACGCCATACTTGTGTAAATAAAGGCAGTTAAAATAAGACTCCATAAGGAGATCACACGGCGCATTGAAAATACCCTCCTGTAACTGATAACTATAAAATCTAAAGACTGTTAACTGTTAACTATTATTCTGCGTTCCTATCCACAACGAACCGAATCATGCCACTTCCATAAATTACATAGTCTGTTGACATTTATCAATGTGTAGCGTTGTGCCCATAGTATATCCACTATTGCCAATCTGCTTTGCGCTATTCATGACGGACATGACTGAAGGCGGCAGATGTGCGAATTCTTTACCCTGAACAGTGAGTCCCGGTTCAGCACAAAGAGTTCCATAATAATTTCCGAGTTATTTTCGCCTCGTTTGCCAACAATTCGACTAATTGGTTGATGTTTTGTGGCGAAATTCAAGGGTGCCCGGTTACGCTGCCAAGATTCGTGAAAGTTGGCATTGGTGGCAAGGAGCGTGACGACCCCCTCTGGAACATCTTTAGGAATCGTGATTGTCCCTGTCTGCACTATGGGGGTTTCGAAATAGGGTTGCAAAGTAATTTCCACCTCAACAGTATCCCCAGGTCGATAGCGGAGTTTATCCATCCGGAGACTCTGAATGCTCGCCGTTCGCCGTTTATCCTCTATGTTCACATCAAGGGTGACATTCTCGACTTGAACCTTTGTGTACGAGTTGAAGGCTAACTGTGACATTGGCATCATGAGCGTCTGCATGACACCAAACCCGGGTGCTCCCCTGGAAGAATAGATATTCTTGTACACCAACTCACGCGTTTTGAGGTCGGGATGTTCTTTCAGAGTGATAGTTGCTCCCATATTGAGCGTGTAGTCTCCCAAAGAAAACTCAAGTCCGTCCATGAGCATCCACGCCCCGATTCCGGTATAAATCGGAGAGTAACTACGATGTCGAATCACTTCATAGTACTTCTGATGCCGCTTACCATCGGCTGTCTGCACATTGACATTTACAGGAATATAACTCGGGTGTTTTCCTATGATACCAGCAATCGCAGGATTCCTGTCTTGTACTAAGGTCCCGATGGGCTGCGTCGGAGATGCTATTTTGGAGGAACGGGAACGACTTGGGAAGATAAAATGCACATATCCCCCAGAAAGCGGGATATTGACGTTCCCTTCTCCATCTGCAGAATGCCCATACGCGAGAAGCTCATTACCATCTACATAAGTAATAGTGCCATAACCAAAAATCGAAACATCACCGCGGACATATTCTGGCCCGATTACTGTCCTTCTTCAACCGGCGATTCCTTAATGGGACTTCCACCTCCCGTCCCTTGGACTGGGGTTAAAATTGAGTCTGTCAAAAATGGGTTTGACAAATCGCAGCACTTCCGCATTGAGTGTTGGAAGTGTGACCGGAATTGATAAGCCGCGCAGATCTGACTGGAGAAGACGTATTAGAAATGTCTTCAAATAGTCTCTCATCAAAGGGACGAGGTATCCGAGTCACTTCACCACCTGCTAACAGGGACTGTCCCATATTCACCCAGATTCTTGCGTCGCAGCTGATGAATCAAGGTTAAAGAGTTGAGTGCCTTCGTAACTTAAGTTAGGTTCCATCCCACGCTGGGCGACTTTAATCATCAATTCAATCGGTGTAAACCCCAAAGAGGTTGGAGTGTTCTCGCTGGCTGAAACCCCCAAGCGAGACTGCCTCCCATGAGTCTCCCGTCATATAGACCGGACTACCACTCATACCGCCTGCGACACCTGTACGTTTAAAGTTGTCGCTCAACCCCTCCATCCATACAACATGCCAACCCGGAACAAAGTTGTATTCAACACTGACAACTTCACATTCAAACTTCTTCTACCGTTGTCCCGAAAACACTGTGTAGCCTTTCCCTTTCATGCCCGTTTCACCTCGGACAACGGTATAAACTTCTCAGCATCCCACTCAATCTGCGCATAACTATGACAAGCGACTAAGCAGAACACTACAAGCGCGCAAAGCAAATCTTTTCACAACGTCTACTCCTCTCTAAACCATTGGAAATCTGTTTATGTTTAGACAATATTCTTATTTGCAAATTGCTTGAACGGTAGAACCGTTTAATTCGTTTCCGCGCACTCTCATTCTGCGAACCAAGGCCTCCGTCCAGTAGAAGCAATCTGCGAGTCTTGATTTTTAAAGTGGGCGGACTTCCTTACCATACATACCATAGGCGAAAACGAAAGAGTTCTGTATAATGTATAGCACTACAATACATTCAAGGCATAATAGTATATTATAGCAAGCAAGAAACGCAATGTCAACCTGATTTCAGAAAAATGTTAAAATCCAAGACTGAGCCACTCATTCAGGGGATATTCAGTTTTCTCGTAGGGCACTGCATGGATTTCCACATACCCATGGGGGGAACGGAACGATCTCCAAATTGTGGTTTATCCCACAGAGACAATAGAAAACCGAAAACCAAATGGCTCCAGTTAAACACTGATTTCCACTTGATTTTTTTTTGACTCGGTGTTATTTTATAAAGAAAAACACTTAGGAGTAGCCCCCATAGCATGCCGAATACCGCTTGCATCCTCTCAATCGACCAAGGGACAACGGGAACTACCGCTCTCCTCGCTGATGTGCAGGGGAACATTATCGCACAAGGATACCAAGAATTCACACAATACTATCCCCATCCCGGTTGGGTAGAACACGATCCGGAGGAAATCTGGAACGCTACTTTACAAGCAATAGACGTACTTTTTGCAAAAGAAAATGCCCTAAACATTGTTGCTATCGGGATTGCAAACCAACGCGAAACCACACTTGTTTGGGATAGAAAAACAGGAAAGCCGATTTACCCTGCAATCGTGTGGCAGTGCCGTCGCACTGCAGATAAATGCGCTCTCCTTGAAAAACAGGGAATTGCCGAAGAGATAAAGGCGAAAACGGGTCTCGTAATCGATGCCTACTTTTCCGGAACAAAGGTTGCATGGATACTGGATCACGTTAGCGGTGCTCGGGAACGTGCAGAACGCGGTGAACTCGCATTCGGAACCGTAGATACGTGGCTCCTTTGGAAATTAACAGATGGTGCAGTCCATAAAACCGATTACACAAATGCCTCGCGTACCCTGCTCTTTAATATCAACACACTGTCATGGGACGAAACCCTTTTGGAAATCTTGAACGTTCCCAAAGCGATTTTACCTGAAGTTTGTCCTTCTGCAAGCAACTTCGGCACAGCGAGTTTCTACAGGAATTTTTGGCTTAAAACCTTCGGTAAAAATATATCTCTGGACGGCATTCCAATCACCGGAATGGCAGGTGACCAGCAAGCCGCGCTCCTCGGCCAATTGTGCACCAAACCCGGTATGGCGAAAAACACCTACGGGACTGGTTGTTTTCTCATGCTAAATACAGGTGCCGAAAAAGTATCAACAAAAACCGGACTGCTAACAACACTCGCTTGTAGTTTAGACGAAAATCCTGTTTACGCATTGGAGGGAAGTGTATTTGTCGCAGGTGCTGCCGTCCAATGGCTCCGAGACGGTATCGCAATTATTAAGAGTGCATCGGAAACGGAGGAAATTGCTTCCCGTATACCAGATTCAGGAGAAGTGTTTGTTGTTCCTGCCTTTACCGGACTTGGCGCGCCATATGGGATCCCGATGCCCGCGGTGCTATCCTCGCTTAACCGCGAGGGAGCACGCGCGAACAGATCGTCCGTGCCCACTTTAGAGTCAATTGCGTATCAATCCGCGGATATTGTCAGTGCGATGTTAACCGACACCGAGATGACACTTGACGGGTTACGTGTTGACGGTGGTGCAGCCGCTAATAACTTCCTCATGCAATTCCAAGCAGATATCTTAGGAATAAATGTAGAACGTCCAGCACAAATAGAATCAACGGGCTTGGGTGCTACGTACCTTGCGGGTATCACAGCTGGTGTGTGGAACGACATCGAAGAACTTGAGGCAAATAGAACCGAGCAAGCAAGACTTGAAGGCTCCGCTCTTAAAACTCGCGTCTTCTCACCACAAATAGACGCAAAGCAACGCAACGAAAAACTCGCGCAGTGGAAAAAGGCAGTGCAACGAGTTATGAGTTAAAATGCGACTCCAATGGAAGTACTCCTTTGTAATTAATCTCTCTGTCATAGCAATCCTCGTGGCGTTTTACTTTTTCGATAGCATCCGTGTCCGAAATGATATGAATGCCCTTCACGCCTTGGGTGCAGAACGTGGTGCCGAGTTAAAGAAAATCACCGAGAATACGATTCTTGATGCTGTTTGTGAGAGAAATCGAAACCACAAAGCGGTTTGATGCCCAACGACTGGATCAGGTTCTGAATAGACTCAGCGAGAACATCCAGATATGCGAGATGTGCTGAATGTCCACATCTCCTTGAATGATACTCGTATTCGTTCCAGTCTGCTCGCCGGTGAAGATGCTGTTGACATAAATCTTGACTCACTGGATCTTGAGCAAATTGAGACAAGGGGGCAACAATACACACTGTAGAAGGACAGACGCACAGCTATTGCTATCAAATACACCGTCAATTTGACATCGCCAAGCCGATTGAGTCAGAGCCTCGCCTACGCCGACGAACCAATACGCGACGAGGGACTCTGTATACGATGTTGGGTGGAGAGTCTCTGGCTACATACAGTCTTTTCGATGTTCCTTATATCGGCAAATCAATTCGATATTCATTGCTATGCATGCGATATTGATTGTGATTGTCGGTGCCCTTCTTGTAATCTGATCGATCTAACGACGACTCTCTGATTATGAAGCCATTAGAGCGATGACTCGTATTATACAGAGTGCTTGAAAGTGGAAATCTATCACTTGATCAACGTATTCGTCGGATGAACTTGGTAGAGCCCCTATACCTCGCAGGATGCTGTGGCAACTACGAGACTCCCATTCAAACGCATTGATGCGTTAGACCAGTCGCCGCTGGTGTGGCACACTATGAATTCGGAATCCACTTAATTCACTCTCGGTATGACTGCTCAGCATCTAAATCTGTTTTCTCCAACGGACGTGATTGCCAGGACGATATCGCGGAGGCAAAGAACTCTTAGAGATCGTTGACATAGTAGAACTGAAGAAATTTCAGAGCAGTTTCTGCTCACTTTATCGACCAGAGAAGATGCAATATAGAACCGGTAACCGCAATACTCTTGTGCGCACAATTCATCTGAATTCGCCGCTTATTGCGAGGAAGCCAAAGTTTCAAGTCCTCATAAATTATGATGTAAATCTACCGGAGTCGGCCCGCTGGTGCTGTTTACGTCGACAGACTCTCGTTTCATTTGGTGCAAAACAGTATCAAGTAAAAAGCAATGCCAAAGGCGGTAGCATCTACATGCACCACCTTGTGAGGTCATATAGATCCGCACATGAGAGATAGCGGTGATTGAAATTCGAGATACTGGGGTGACTGGCAGTAGGCATCCCAGACTGAAATTCAGGAACAAATTACGATGCGTATTTTACAACCAACGATGCTACAACCGGCGGCATGGGGCTCGGTCTTGTCGCGTTTCGGCACCAACATTAGCACGGCTCATCAAGGCAAAATTGACGTCGAAGTCAAAATGGGAATGAACCCCAACCGCTTTTAAAATCAGCTTTCCGCTGAATGAGGATAACTGCCATAATTCTCGGCTTAAATGAGGAGGCGCACACCAAAACGATGCATCATACGGATTGTAGACGACGACCAGCACCCCTGACAATTTTAGCATTTACCGCGTATTTTGAAACGCGAAGGGTACACAGTTGAATCGTTGAAGACAGCAAAGCGCGCTTGATAGCTTAGAGAAGCAAATGTTTGACCTCGTCATCAGTGATCTGTGGATGTTCCTCGTCTCCGAATTTGAGTAGAGAGATCTGCTCGGGAAATAAAGCGGGACCGACCCAGACCTGCCGGTGGCTATCATGACAGCGTTTGCGGAGCTAAACGACGCTGTTAATCTTGTTGCCGCACGAAGGTGCTTTCTATTATCTTGAGAAGCCGATCCAAATTGAAGTTCTGAAACGGGAAGTGAAACAACCCCTACAGACTCGCGGTGCGCTCCGCAGCATCGCAGAGAAAGCGATGACTCAACACCAGAAATTCAGATGGATGAAATCAATCGTGATGGTGAGAAAATGCATGAACTCTTCAAAACATGGCTCGATTTTGCATCGTGACGTAACACAAGTTCTCATCAGCAGGCGAAACGGTCTCTGGAAAAGTCTCATTGCGCGTGCACTTCACAACATGGCAACCGCAAAACAGCCGTTCTTCATCGATTAACTGTGGGGCAATTCCTGAGACACTCATGAGAGTGAATTGTTTGGACATGACAGGGGGCGTTACCGACGCTGCACATCAGTCTTTTTGAGTAGCAATGAGTGGGTACTTTTGTCTTGATGAAATCGGGGATCTTACCCCTTCCAACCACGAGTAACTATGCACGTCGTGATGACGTGAGATACGACGAGTTGGTGGGACTCCGAACAGTAAAATAGATGTCTGTGTGAGTGCCGCACCACACAAAATCTCACATCCAAGCCGTACGAAACATCACATTTCGCGAAGATCTCTATTTTCGCGTCTGACTGTTATCGCCGGATCCACGTTCCACGTTCCACCCCTTCGAGAGCATCCAGAGGACATTCATTGCTCGTGATTTTCTCATCCAAAGTCAGCAGCGAATATGCGGAGGCTCTCCCCAGAACAGTGTACCCATACATACAACACACACACACGGCAATGTCTGTGCTACAGACGTATCACTCACGGGCCCGCAACATCCGGCAATGAGAAATTACCGTCCTGTCGTATTTGTTGTACTCTCAGAAAATAGAGGTCTCGATAAATGATGAAGTGCCTCCGGAGATTTTAGACACGTCGCTTCCAGCGACGTTGAATTTGATCATTCCTGAGGACGTTTCCTGACGAAATATCAAGGAATACGTGTGCGTGCGTTTAGCAAAGAGCACTGGAACACACGATGCCACGCGGCAAATGCTGGGGATTTCGCGACGTAACTTCACACCGGTGCAGAACTACGGTCTTCAAGCCAGATGTCAAGACAGACCCTAAGCCGCGTCTGCTTCTTTGTCCTAAAGCCTCGTTCGGGCGAGCGAGACGGTAATTTAACATCACATGATGCGAGTTAGTATTGAGCATCTGCGTATCTATTCCCGTGCCCACCGATCATTGCCGCCGATTACACATCTTCACCGATTTTAACAAAACCGAGTTGTTTGCAAAAGAAACGCTGCATCAGACTCCTCATGCCCCAGCTGACACTAACGACGTCTCTCACTCCGGGTAATTTCGTTACACAACACGCCTTGGCAAACTCACCGAAGGAATCCATAGCAGCACCTCAAGGGTGAACCATGCCGATACTCCCATTCTTCCCGGACATCCACACAACGAAGGGCGTGCCTTTGTTTATCATGTCCTCGAGCTGACTCTGTGCAAGTTAGCGTACTGTCCGCCGCCAATGGAAGAATCGCCTCTGCTACGCTGGTGCGACCTTCGGTAATTCCGATCTCGCAAATTCCTGATATACCGATCGCCAGACCCTCTTTAACTACTAGCTTTTTCGCGATAGACGTGAACATTCTCTCAGCTCTCTTTAAAGATTACGGAAATTATGTAACGTCAGTTTCGACTTAAACATTTCGTCCGTCTAAAGGTTCTGTTTCCGCAATGTCAAGACATAATTGTAGCACAAACTTTATGAGATTCAATAAATAATTCGGTAATTCGGGGTTACAACCCCTCCCACAAGGATAAGAAAATCCGGTGGTTCAAACCCCTCCCCACATTACCGATTTAAATTCTTAATCTTAATCTTCATTTAGTTTGTGGCGTATTCGGCGCAAACTAACACTTTGCGGTACAAGGGAAGCCTTTTAATCGAACTCACGTTTATCTAATTCGGTGTAAAACCCAATCCTTTAGGTTTGGGATGTAGACACCGCCTTTCTTGGAAAGACCAAACGGATACCAAAAAAGCATTTGACATGAGCCTACAAAAGTAGTATAATTACGAGTATCCAGTTGGCAGACATAAACAGCGTACCGCCAAGGGTGTATGTGTCTGCTACCCACTGTTATGGGGTTAGATGACTTGAGACTTGATTACACTATGCGAAACACCAATCCATAACTTTTCAGGATTAGTACGTTGCGTCACTTGCACGACGTGAGTGCCAATATCTGTGGCGTTGTGAACAACCACGTTCCTTGCTCTGTGCATCTGCGATTTACGCAGGTATGGTAAGGGCTTTCATACTGAAAATAGTCTAAGCACTTGACCGACTCAAGAACTTGAGAAGTATAGCATATGGGAATATCCCTACTCGCTGGTCCTTACAGAAGTTCTCAAGACGTCTGCACAAGTTTTCCGTGGAATGAAAACACTGGCAGAGGTCACCCGAAGTTCAAGTCATGTAAAAACACAACAGGTCATGACTTCGCGGTGAACAGGTCAGATTGAAACTGTTAGACGCACAAAGACGAAAGAAACCACCAACGTATCGTATTCGTCTCACGGACGTTGAGTATCGGTTCGCACTCCACAGAAAATACACAGGTGTAATCATACAGGTTCAGTTACACGAGACGCCTCGTAGAGGACGTGTATATTCACGCTCACTGAAGACTATAGTGAAGTCAACTATGAACCCAGACGGGTAGGCTGAAGGGTTCCGCCTTTGTGAATCAAAGACTTCCTGGACTGCTGACTGGCTCTGACGGTAGGCGAATATACGTCTCCACTATGTTCTACAAACACAACGCCAAACGCAGTTGGCGCAAGTGCAGCACAACGAGCAGCATTCCGAAAGGTGAAAGCCTCTAATAACCAAGAGACGAGAGCAGAAACAGTGGGCACGTACAGTCCCCACAAGAAGACATGCAATCAGAGAGCAGATCACCATTGGAAACTTGCTATAGACTTGTGCCGAAGTTTTGACATCCTGTTCTTTGAAGACCTGAATCTTCGAGGCATGAAAGCACTTTTTGGAAAACAGGTCTCTGACCTGGTTCCTTCGGTGAGTTCATACGGAAACTGAAACACCAGTCTCATAA